GGGATAAAAATTTATCTGTTTTCTCACATCAGGAGTTGAATCTGTAGACAACACAAAGGACAGTTTTTCTTTTTCAATTACTCCACCTAATACCAGGATAGATGCCTCAAAAGTTGGCTGAAACCCTTCTCCAAGATAGAATAACTACAAAGAAAAAGAACTCGAGGTGTGTCTTTCCAATGTATATTAGCTCAAATATAAAATCAATTTTCTTTGGCCAAGCTCACATCCCTTGTGTTTGCTTTCCTGAGAACTTGCATAATCAAGTTTTATGAGCCCAAATGTTTGCAGAGAGACCAATTTAGGCCTTCACACTCAAGTCTATCAGAAGTGACATATTTTATCAGGGAGAGAAGACTGATAGACAAACTGGGATAAGGCATTGGCTGAGGGGAGGGTTCTCTTAAGCCTTTGCTATACTTCCTACAGTGAGGAACTCGGTGAGCTGAAATACAACCCTTCCAGCCTGGGCCACCCATGCACGCACACGCTGCTATTTCATGTGAATGTAACAGGGCAAAATTCAACTCTGGAATCTTCCAATAAACCTGACAGTAGCTTGTTGGGTTTTTTCCTAACAACGATGCCTTGGCTGTTCTGGTTTTGTCTTTTTCATCCCGTTTCAAAAGTGCCTAGTTCTGCTTGTCTACTTTTCTGTTCAAAACTACCACCTTTTCCCTGACAGTGTCTAAGCACTCTAAGTATTCTCTATCAACTAATTCTACCCAGTCAACTGAATAACTGACAGGTGACTAACCAAAACTAAGGTAACTTAACTCTTACTTCATCACAGCAATGGATGGACAACACCAGAATGGGGGTGCCTGATATCCTCCAACAACAACTGACATTCTGCAAAGGTTTTCAACTTCACTGCTGTCCGTGGGCTTACGTGCTCGATCTCCAAGCAAAAAGTAACTTCAGTGGCTTTTCTGGGATTGCTGGAGCAGCCACCAATTAGCACATGGTTTGCAGTGAAGAAAGAGGGCTTATAATACGGAAACTATTTCACCAGCATTAGGGTGAGGTCAACTCATGTAAGACACCTGACAGGTGGTTACAACCTGTAACTTTACCTCATGGTATGCTATTGGTTAAAAGGAAATGTTATACCTCTTCATTGCCAAAAAAAATCATTTACTTAAATTTATGAAGCTAATAAAGACACATAATCAACTCATCAACTCTTTTTCTGGGTCTTTTTTTAAACAAAGGCCATCATCCCTGGACCTTTATTTGTTTTGATCTGTTTCACATTCATGGGAGTTTGCTTTGCAGTTCCCTTCCATAGATATGATAAAATTTGGGCATTCAATAAATACTATGAAGAAATTGAAATATTGAATAATGGAGTTGCATTCATCTTACAGGAAACTATTTAGCTTTTAGAAAACTATCCCAGAATTACAAGAAATTTGTAATGAACATATTTTGGTCTATTATTTATATACTAAACAGTTCAATACCAAAGCAGCACTAATTTACAACCTGCAAGTCCCTTATAGACCTAGAAATTGCTGAATATAAAGTATGTGAACATGGACATAATCACAGTAGTTCAAAATACATTAGAGTTAACTAAAGTAAGGTGTTCAATATATCATCATAAACAAAACCAATCTGATGAAATCTAGGTAAGTCAAATGGGGACACAACTAAATAAAATCAACTTTTCAAATTAAATATATTTTTTTAAGTTAAACTTGAAATTGAACTTGAAATTTTGAATAAGGTCAGTAAGGAAAAAGTATGGTTGATGGCCACGCAATAGGCCCTCCTCCAAGAGTTACATAAATATCTTTGTAGTTAGTGATAAAGAACAATTCAGATCTTTGCTTATGATACATTTACCACTGTCAGACCACAAGGTCTGACCTCCGGCTTGGTCACAGATTGGTATTTGTTACAAATATCACATGATGTACCAACATGACACTTAGAAGAAGTGCAGACACATGGAGAGTAATGTAAGAATATTGAAGTGGTCTGACAAGCAGGCCCTCATCCTCATTTCCGTGAAGGAACAGTACCCTGGTAATTTAAAAGGGCAAAGGGCATTAAAGATCAGGGAAAAGCAACTTTCAGGCCTAATGTAAATAAAGCATTTGCCTTCATGTCTTTCGACTACCTCTGTTTCCAGAAAAATATTTCTCCCACAGTAAAAAAGAAAATTAGGTTAAGTTTTAAAAATACAGAAGCTCTGTAGTGTAGCCAAATTAAACTATTCCAAAACACACTGTATTTGTAACTCACTTAACAGTCAGCAAGTTGGGCTCCTGACTTTATAATTTGCTAATAATGCTTTTCAGTATTTTAAGTCAGCCAACCAACTTGTAATCCAATGATATTTTTAACACGTTGGGATTTTCTTGGTTTACTTTGGTAGTTTTTTTAGCAGAGAAATTAGTGGTGACCTACTGATAACGTTCTTCCCTCACTATCAAGTAAAAGATTAGGATTTAGCTGATGGCGTGGGATGCTTTCTCCCAAAGCCAGTGTAATGAGAACACTGCAGATGTTTCAAAATCCCACAGTGAGCACGTGTATCAGCATTACACTCCTTCCCCTTTTTCCTTTACCCAATAAAGATGACCATAAACAGGTCCTGAGAGAAATGCCATCCGCTCCTGCCGAGCCAGAAAGACAGCACCCTCACAGTTAGTATTTCCTACACGCACATAAGAAAACATATGTGCATATCAGAATTGTATTTCTAACCTAGTCTCAACAGGCTCTGCCAGTTGCAAGGCGGTGTCCAGGTGGACATGATCCCACCACTCTAACTAAGGTCTACCCAATGCTAGCACAGAAATGTTCTTCTGACTAAAAGAACTACTGTTGTGCGATATATAAATACACACGTGCAGCAAAGGCATAGCAACTTTTAAATCTCCTTTTCACTGACTCTATTGGTACCATTTTAATTTTCAAGGAATGATGGAGGGGCAGATAAAAGGTGGGTGTATTTTTTGTGTCGTCTTTTTGTTAAGATTACACTTCACTATTTTATATCATCAATACCTGTGAGAGAAGTGACATGGCTATTCCAGAGTTTCAAGTCTCTGCTGTAAGACCAAAGGCTTGTAAAAGTGGATAAGTCACTTAGCTGTTACATTTCCAGGTAGATCATGAAATGGAAAACACAGATACACTCAAGGGATATTTAAGTATCAAATACTATTTCATAAAGTGTCTTGAAGGTAAAGAATTATGCAAGCATTATATTTACTACTATAATAATCTCAGAATAAAGAAAAAGCAAGCCAGTTAGATTATATGGAGATATACCTAGAGAAAAACCACAACTCCCTTTAAGCTTTTAGGAAAAAAATGTAGCAGGATTTAGTTTTATGTTTCAGGACAGTGGACTTCATTCTAGATCCATTTTTTTCCCCATTTATGTTTTGGGTTTGGACATAACATGAGACTTAACACTCTTCTCTTTGTGAAAGCCTGTAGATAGGCATAATTTTTTCCAGCACAGTACCATTAACACTATAATCCAGTGTCTTTCTATTTTGCCTGGTCCTTTCAGGACTGGGAGACACAATGACCTTTACTGATCAGTAAAGTAAGTTTTACATTAATTTATTTTAAATACATGTCACTATTCTATTTTCTTGGTCTGATGTCTGATTTGAGTGTATTAGGAGATATCTAAAACAGTCAGTCTGGACTTTTCAGCAAGCATAGCTCAGACTGGTACCACGGCAGTGGCGGTGGGTGAGGGCAGAGGGGAAATCCACTGATCACAATTTAGGACAATTTTCTAGTGGGGTTTTTTTTTGGTTACAACCACTGCTTTAATTTCTAGCCAATCTGGACTGTGAACAAATGCACAAGTTTTGGTAAATTCAGTCCCCTGAGGTCAAATGAGCTCCTTCCTAAATGTATGTAATTTTCCCTCGCTTCCATGTGCTGATGAATCATTACTGGATCCTCTTCTTTCCCAGAAATAATCTGGAAAAAGGGAAAAGCAACTATGACCCGCAGCACTGAAATTCCCCACTGCGGTAGAAGCGTGACAAGTCCTTTAGCAACACGGCCCATTTCCTCTGCTTCAGCCTTGGCACGAAGAGCAGAGAGGACAGAAAAACAAAACACTGAACACTACAACAGACTTGTGGCATAGCTGCTGACCATACCGCCAATTAGACAAATCGTAACACACTAGAGTGTGTTCTCTGAAAACCCTAAATCACATAGTAACTGTAAGAGTATACATTTTCGCAATCACAGTTCTCATGAAATATATATTTTTGGTCAAAGTCTAATTTAGAGCTGCGTTATTGCTGAGGACAGTTGAGTTTTGTAGCCCTGGCATGTTAATGTATTATTTCTTGATTAATCTCTTTTCATCAACATGCTATGCATTTACGATTTGCAACCTCACAATCTACTAGACATTTCTTTTTTAGAACATTTCCACTCAGATGAACCCGTCTAAGGATTATGATTGTGTTACGTGCACACTTGACGTATATGAAGGAGAAAATACCAAATGTACTACTATCTTTAAGTCAGTACTTCTTACCCTTTCCCCCCCAGAAAATATATTAGCAATGCAGATATGCAACTGGTTGGGTAAAAATCTCCGAAGTGTTAATGGAATGTGAAACCACAGAGCAATTTCAGTGCTGTTAGTGTCTCAGAATTTAAAACAAAGCATTTTCCTTAGATTTCCTCTACATTTTTAAACTTAATAGTTTCAATGGAAATTATTTTGTATAAATCTATTTCGAATGGAATAAAGATAGTTAAAATTAACGAATTTGATTTTTTTCATACTAATCTTTATTAGCTGTTAAATATTTAGTTGTATACTAGCAGCAAACTATGATAAAACCACCATTACTTTTACATGCTCAGCCTATACAGGGAATTAAAATGTTAATTGCTGCATTGCAAAACTTCCAGATCTTGCTACTAAAAATATGTTTTCTAACTTGTTATAAATGATTACATTCTTGGCTATTAATTGCATAAAAAGTGATACTTACTACTGTGCACAGTCAATCAGTTGATATTCGTTCGACCTCTCGAAGCATGCCTTTACACCTTCATCATCCCAGAGCTTTTTTGCGTGTTCAAAGAATTCCTGAAAATTGGAAATACGAGAACATTTCTCAATCTTTTCAGTCCCCAATCTGTATGTGTTGTTCCCCACCTCCAACATTCATGGTTATACTTTTGCAGAATTATAGATTATACCTTTAAAGAAGAAAAGCAAAAAACATTTATTAGCAAAATTGCAGTGAAATATACTGAACATATGGCTGCTGACAGTTTCCAGTACACGATATGTAATCAAGACTGTCTTCAAAATTCACACCAGTCCATACATAAAATTCACTGTAAGCATGAATGCTACCCAGCAGCACACAAAGTTAATTTTTAACTGAATTTATGCTTCTGTCATGGAAAAGGCATAGAAGTGATGCAAAAAGCTGCTTAGCTCTTAAAACATTAGTTTCCCAGAGCAAGAACCAGTCTGTAACTTTAAAAAGATTGTGTAATTTTTCCTGAAAAACACAACTTTCCGCTGCTCGTTATTTTCTCATGCAACATAATAATTTGATTGCAAGACTTTCAGAGTCTTTGCTCAACACCGCTTCCTCCAAGCAGCCGCCTGGCACAATGTGAGCTGCAAACCAGAAATATCTGCCAGCAAGCTTATTTCAGAATTATTTGAAAGAGGAATCAAAGCTGTCCTTGGTGACGGTGAAGCCATAGCTCCTTTGTATAAAACGGAAGTTGTTTTTAATCTCTTAGCACCTCAACATGGCCACTAAATCATCAGAGTCCTTTAGTCAGTCATAAATTCGCAAAACCTAACAAATGGCTTTTGCACAGTTCAATTTGGCTCTGTGCAAAATGGGTGTAATACCACTATTCACTTCACAATCCTGTCTAAATGTTGTGTAAATATCTGAATTCTGAAACTGGTTGCCAGTCCCTCCCCACACCTTTTCAGGATTAAAAACTTCTCCCAAAAGACTGAGTTCATAGTGAGAGATCTTGGCAGCACTGTAAGGTCACTTTTACTCTGTATGGGTTTCCCAGCCTTGCAGGCCGCCCCTCTGAGGTGCCCCAGAAGGTGACACTCTGTGACCTGCTGGCGACATTTCCAGGGAGAGGCAAACCACAAGATTTTCAGAACAAACCAGTACTGAAAATTATTGAGTTAAGGTTTGGATATGGCTATAGAGGTCCTGAGTAACCCCAGAAATGTTTTCCTTTGTTGTTTTGTTTTGTTTTTTTTTCCCAACGATATTGTGTACAATGTAGAGAGAGGGAAAAATCCATTCGTTAAGGAGTTTTCAAAAGTTCAGAGAAAAGGAGATGTTAAAGCAGGCGTGAAAAACCTTCGCAGAAAATCTTGGAAGAAGAGAGGAAGCAACACTAGAGATTGGCAGATGCTTATACTGCCCTTGGAATTTATTTCTTCACTGTCATGAGGATGTGTTTATTTTGCCTTTGTTATTTTAACAACTTATGTAATGATTGTTTAAAACACTGCAGATCCACCTTTTGAAGTTATGCTACAGCTATTATAAACTCTCTGTTCCTACAGCAGAAGGAAAGCAGAAACAAGTTCAAGAAAGGACGAGATATTGAACTAAATAAGTAGAAGGAGAAAGCGGACACCAATGACAGAGAGCACAACTACATAAAAAAAAAAGAACTGGAAAAGTCAAAGTGATAAATACCAGAAAACACAAAACATTCCTCAAACTTGAAGCTTATGCTTGACTGATATTCAGGGCATCAGCTGAGTGCATCTCACTCACTGGCATCTTTGTCCAAAGAAAGGCATTGACTTCTCACTGGAAAGAGCGAGCTCCAGGTAAGTGTCAGGGTCCCGAGGCACAATGACCCAGCTCTCCTACCCCCTTCCATGGGAGGGTGTCCAGCAGTGTCCAGCCTCAGCCCTCCCTCCCTGCTGCTGCAGGCCTGGGGGCCGAGCACGGCGGGCTCACTGTCCCTCCCCTCCTCACCATCGGTGGCCAGGAATTCCCACCCGCCTGGAAAGTCATATCTGAGGGGAATCTACATCTAAAAAAATGGCCCCATTCAGCCCCACGCAGCCTATGGGAAGGGGGTGGGAAGAGGAGAAGGATGTCAGCATGAAAGCTTCCTTTCCTGCGGGGTGGGATGGATTGAGAGACAGCTGCAGATGTAAATAAATAAGTAAATAAAAAATTAAATAAAATCACAGAGCTACAGCAGTTTCTACCTTCACTTCTGCTTTTATACCCTCTGTATAAGCTTTATTTACTCTTAAAAATCTCTTCTGGAAGAGGCAGTCTTTTCAGCTCAGCTTCTGAGACCCTACAAACATGTTGTAAATACAGGGTTTCCATATTATATGCTTCTAATATTTCCACCTGACCATTATATCTCAAAGCAGTCTATTTAAAACGACTTCCAGACTTCTAGTCCAAAGCAAATCCTATAAAACGGAGCAAATATACTTACCTCATTAAAATGTACCGATCTACTGCAGAGGAGTACACTTGCCTGCAAATTGCCTCCCACACAGCTACCCGATCCTTCTTTCCCAGGTGACTAAAGCCTTCCAGAAAAATCCTGCTTCATTTCAAGACACCAAGTACCATGATCCAACTTTTCACACTTGTTTTTAACCCCTTTCTTGTCTGCTCTAAGTTCTACAGTATTTTTTTCTCCTCAACTGCTGAAAGCTCCCATTGCACACAATCAAGCACACGGGAGGACCCTGCTCACACGTGCCAAATGTGCCTGGATCCCAACCTACTCTCCATTGCAGGATGAGACCCAGATAGCAGCCACCATGTTAGGTTCAACGTCTGCAACCGAGCCCCTTTTGCCTGACCAGCCTTCTGGCAACTGCTCTCTGATCCCCAATCCCCATGACCAATTCCTATAGACACCAATGCTTGTCACCTCCTCCTCCTGCCATGGCCACATCGTGGCCACCTTGTCGGCAAGCAGGCGCTGGTGAGGTAACGAAGGTGTGGGCTTTGGGCTGAGCTCACCCTGCAGCACCTGCTCTTGGGCCTGTGGTATCCTCAGGGTGGCAGCCACATTTGGCAATGCCCGTCATGGGGAAGAATCAGGGAAGGCTCTTCAAAGGACACAGAACCTGGATTTGCTCCAGCTGATAAAGGAAGATGGGCTAAAACTTTTCCGTTGATGTTTCTGGGAGGCAGGGAACTACATACAAAACATTACCGTAGATCAGTACAACACAAATAAGGTTTTACGAGTAAGTTGTGACATTAGCAGCTTACATTCTGAGACCCCACCTGGAGTACTGGGTCCAGCTCTGGAGCCCCCAGCACAAGGACATGGATCTGTCAGAGCGAGTCCAGAGGAGGGCCACAAAGACAATCAGAGGGCTGGAGCAGCTCTCCTACGAAGACAGGCTGGCAGAGTTGGGGTTGTTCAGCCTGGAGAAGGGAAGGCTCTTGGGAGACCTTATAATGGCCTTTCAGCACCTTATAATGGCCTTTCAGCACCTAAAGGGAACCTACAGGAGAGATGGGGAGGGACCCTGTGTCAGGGAGTATAGTGATAGGACAAGAGGTAACGGTTTTAAATTGAAAGAGGGGAGATTTAGATTAGGTATTAGTAATAAATTTTTTACTGTGAGGGTGGTGAGACACTGGAACGGGTTGCCCAGAGCAGCTGTGGATGCCCCATCCCTGGAAGTGTTCAAGGCCAGGCTGGATGGGCCTTTGAGCAACCTGGTCTGGTGGGAGGTGTCCCTGCCCATGGCGGGGGGTTGGAACTGGATGGTCTTTAGGGTCCCTTTCAACTCAAACCATTTATGACTCTATGGCCAACCTAAGATCTTCTTAAGGGTCTGACTTCTGAAAAGGTGTTATTCAGAAGTTATGAGCCAGGTTCTTTAAGAAAAATCAACTGGGACAGGAGAAAACAGGGACATGGAAAATATCTAGGGGTATCTGATGCACTTGGTCTGCAAGCACATGCAGCTGACCCCTATTGGATCAAACTCACCAAAATCTAGTAAAAATATTCAGTATACTGAGGAGAACTGGGAATAATGTGCTATTCCTGACAGCAGAAAAACACCTACATCATGAACACCAAACCAAACAGAGCTGTTTCATCCAAACTCTTCCTTAGGGACAGAGGCATACAAATATTTGCATCTATTAAAATACATATAAAATAAACCCATTAATATATTTTTGATGGAACATTGTAATTAGAGCATTAGAGAAGTAAATGATGATGCCTCTGGTCTCACAAATTAAAGGTACTTCTTCTTTCACACACATTAATTTATACCAGTTACCTAAGAACTTATAGTCATCATTAGACCATACAATACCAAAATTTTGATGTGATCAAAATGATGTTGTGACACGCACCTCAAATATTTACTAACATAAAATTATCTGGAAATTTTCCACTTTTCCTAAGACAATCCAAAGAACTCTGCCCCACATTCTCAAGCTTCCTTTTCACTAGCATAAAATTTTTGCTATACATAAATATTCACACATCATCTAGAAATCATGAGCTGGTTATGATTCCTATTTTTTTCAGAACAAAATAAGTTAAGATGTACATAAATGTAGAAACATCCTGAGCTGATATCACTGATGTAAACAGTATGGTATTTTTACTACATTTTAAAAAGGTCTTGTAGAAATATTTTTACTCACCTATTCCAAGGTAACATTTTTAGGTTGAAAAAAAGGAGAGAATATATTCCTATACAAAACATTCCAAGAGACCAATGCAGATGCACTACAGCTAAGTCTCAAAGCACTGTTTTTCAACTTTGTCCTACTAGCAGTTACAGCATGTTCTTGAAATTTAATTTTCCTTATTTTGGAAATAAACTTATTTATTGGTAGGTTACCTTAGAAACCTCCTCCCCCTTATAACTCCTACCAAAATTTTCAAGTAGATAAAAAATGGACTTGTTTCACTTTTCAGCTGCCTAAATTGGAAATAAATATTAGTGATGATTAAACAATGACATATCTTCACGAACAAATCTGTATGTATTTTGGAAACAGAACTTTTCATCTAATTGCTTTACAAACCACAAAAGTTCATGTTAGGTCAGGAACACAA